TTTTAGGGAGTTCAGAGTCCCACCCTCCCACCAACTCATTTATGGCCCCTAGGTTAAGACCCTATAATTTAGATACATAGAATTTGGCAGTAAAGTGGTAGAATGGAGAAAGGACTGAGGCTAGGAACTAGGAGACTTCAATTATAGTCCTGTATCTGCTTCTAACTAGCTATGTGCATGTAATTTAACTTCTCCACGTTTCAGTTTTCTTATGTGAAAAATGAGGGGGTAAGCTTAATTCTATCCAAAGATTCATCTGGTGTCAACATTCTGGAGGGAGAAGAGGTTGGCACATTCCACAGGAACAGCATCCCTTCCACCAAGGTTCCTCGGTGGGTTGCCTCCTTGGTACACATCGCTTTCTTTATACTTTGAAAAGAAGCCTTCTCTCCCCACCAGTTGAGCTCCTCCAAACCCTTGCAGTGCTAATTTTAATTTAACTTAAAAATCTGCACAGAGGCCATAGCTCTTTGGTCCGCTCACTTCCTCTTCCTTGCATGGCACCTTCATAGATGTCAAAGAAGACTTCAAACAGATCACCTGGACAGAAGGGGGGTGGGTGAGAGGTGGGCTGGGGAGGACATACTGATGCTGCCTATTCAGGTGAACGGATTTTACCTCATTCACTTTCCTCTTTGCTTTCTCCTGGACTGGCATGAAACAGAAATAAACAGTTGTAACCACCACAGGGAGGAACTCTGCAATGTGCTGGCTGAAGCCATTCTCAGTTCTTTGCCAGAGAATCCAGTAGTACTAATTTAATATTTCCCTTCGTGTTGCAGCTTTACCATGCTTTTAAAAAATAGAAACTTTGTCTTCAAATACCTGGTACTTTTTATGTAGCACAAACTTAAAAGCAAATTACCGCAAGGGAACGTTCAAATGTCTTCAGACAAGCCAGGCACAGTAATTAAATAGTAAGTGCCCTCCCCCCACCCTGCTCCCATCCCCAACTGCCTGTATCCCATCCTTTCAAGGGTTATAATCCAACTCCAAAATCCTGGGCTTGGGCCTCCTTTACAATTGCCCCACTAAGTGGTGATCCAGCCGAATTTTGGATGTCCTAAAATGACCAGGACGACTCATTGCATTTTTATATAGCCCTAATCCTGGGCCCAAATCTTCAAAAATCTACTTCTCTGTAGCTTTACAGAGAGCTGAGCCCTAGTGCTACTGTGTGGGATAGACAAATTACAAATAATAATGTCTTGAGTTCCTTCTCTACACCAGGCTTTGCCATGAGTGCTTTCTGAGCATCATCTCACTTAATTCTTATGGTAAATCTACAACGTCACTCAAATGTAGGCTCTCTCAGGGCAGATATTTTTCATCCAATTTGTTCACTGCTGTCCCCAGTCTCTAGAACAGTATCTGGGTAATATTAGGCACTCAGTATTTGCTGAATTTAAAGATAGTTACTGTTATTATCCCCATTTTACAGATGAGAAAACAGAGATTCACAGAGGTCAAACACTACTACAAGCTGCAGGACTATTTTAATAGGATCTGAAGGAATAAAGCCATTATGAGGAGGATACCATTTGTGTCCAAGAGGCTCTGCCTCACACCACACCCCCAAGGTGGCTGCCCAGCCCATCTGTTCTTGAGAGAGACACAGCCAAGCTCCACTGCTGGGGCTAGAGGAAAGTGGTGTCATGGTCCCAGAATGGTACTTAAAATAATTGGGTGGTGGTTAGTTAAAATAAAAGGGTTGAGGGCCTTGTTTAGAGCAGTATATTGCGTAAATAACTGTAGCCATGGAAGATGGCATCTGATTATCTCACTTCTGACTGAAAATTGAGAGGGTAAAAATGGTAGGAAAGGCAGAAGCAAAACAAGCAAACACAAACAAACAAACACCACAAACCAAACCAAAGCAAAACAAAACCCAAAAACCCAAAACCCAAAATCAAACCAAAGCAAAACTTACGAACTGGAACAATGGAGAGGGAGTTTCATGAGGGCTTGTCTTATTTTTTCTGTGGAACAAATGTACTCCTTTTAGCCTGAGGAGACCTCATGCTACTTGTTAGACTGTTACTGTAGGACTAAACAATAATGCCCTATTTCAAGTATCATTTTTTTCTTGCAAACCCAAGTTTCTTGTGAATTTACATATTCTGCTGAGTTTCACTCAGTGAGTGAATATCACCCTTACTCTGACTTTTCTTTTCTTTTCTTATGAATGGCCAAGAAAGCCCAAGTATCACAGTTTTTTTTAGTTGATTAGGAGAAATATTTTTGATGAATGGAATATTTTCTTTGGTTAAACAAATAACAAACACCAACTCTAACCCAACCAAATAAGTTTCTTTGGTAAAGTGAACATTAATGTCTTGGTTGGAATTAATTGAAAAATAAAACTTTTGCAAGTGTTTGCTAGGATCGTTCCTTCCCTCTTTATAGCAATTGAAAAAATAAAACTTCATGAAGTAAAGACTTAAATTTTATGGGGATGTAACTCTGAGTTACTTCTAAAATGTCTTCTCCATGGTGGGGCTAAACCAATGCTGTCAGAGCAATAATCAACAATCGATATTAACAAATAAATAATAATGATGTAACAATTAAATAATAAGTAATCAATTTTGGCATGCAGAGTCCCCCAGTAAAAAAAATTCATTCCACAGTCAGAATTCCATAAGCTTTGATTTCAAGTGCTGAAAAGAGAAGTTGACAAGGTTGAAAATGCCCTTCATTTAAAAATACAATATCCCAAGGTATACAGAGACTCAATCAAGTTGGAAAACTACTATCTGTCATAAAACAAAGTTCCACAGTAAGTCATTCTGGTTGACCAAATTGAATGATTAAATTCGCAACAAAATCCACTTAATTGGTGTGTGTGTTGTATCAGTTTCGTGGAGTCGCTTTAACCCGAGGTGCTCCACGTGGCCGACACGAGATCAATGGCTGATTTAGAACACACTGTTCAGAAAATGATTTAGCAACATATGATTTAAGAATAAAACCAATCCCCTCTTCAGCTGTGTTTTATAAATAATAGCCTAGTTGCAGGCCCCTTGGAGAGAGAATTGATCGCAGATCTATTATGCGAACTTGCCCTTTTGCGAGGATTGTACTTGTCCTCAGATTAAAGCTCATTGTCTTCTAGTTGAGTGCATAACACGATATGATCGCTTAGTGTATCTGCAGGAGAGATTGAACACGTGTGTAATGCACTAGCTACGATCCCCTGCACATGTATTTAGAACTGTGTGAACAACAGTACATGAAATAGAAAGCACAGGTTTGCACTTGGTGTGGTTACATCTGAATCATTTGGACATTTTTGCTGTTTAGAAAGACAAGGGCAAACCTAAATCCCAAACATTATCCAGACATTAAAAAAAAGTCTGCCTTGTGGCCAATGAAGTCCTATGTTCCTTCCTTGGAAATGTACTTTGAAGGGAGTAATAGCCCTCTTATGAGAAAATCTAAAATTGGCCTGCCCTGTCTTAGGCATGCTGAAATGATGGAAACCCTCTAGTGGTGTGACCCTGGGTGAGTCGCTTTATTCTTCTAGGTCTCAGTTTCTTCCTCTGCGGAGGATGGGGAAGTTGCACAGCACATCCGCTAAGGTCCAGAAAGGTAAGGTGCTTTGGGGAGCTTACCAGTATAGATGTCTAAATAAGCTACATCTCTAAAAGGGAAACATATTGTAGACATTTGCCTCAAAAGTGACCAGGTTTTAGCTTCATTTTTATAGACTTAAAGAAATGCGGGGGTCTGGGGTAACATACACAGCCTCTTCAGATCAAATCATTTCTGTTTAGATCCTGGAGATACTGCAAGTCAACAGTATGAACATCTAGGCTCGTTAATGCACAGAAGGGCCGTGCAGTGAAGTAGAGCGGCACCAACAAAGGTGTGGGGGGTGGACCAGGAAGATGAAAGTGCAGCCAGTTTAGCAGGAAAGTTCCACTGTCATCATTGATAGACTTGTATTGGTGTTTACATCTTCCAATCATTTCCATGTATCTCCCTTGCAGCCCTTTATCTCCCTGCCTGCACTTTTAGGAAGTTTCTCAGTTTCAGGACTTACACTCACTAAAGAACTGTCTTTTCTCCTCTGTGTCTCTGAGCAGGCATGTCTCATAGCGAAGGCAGACTGGCACTACAAGTTGGAAGCTACGGCGAATAACCATTTCAGTGTTCGTTTCTCTGTCCTCAGCTATGCGTGGGCAGATGTTTCTGGGCATCCACGCAAAAAACGCATGGAGGGCCAAACCACAAACAGCTGTACCAGCTGGCCTTTTTTTTTGTTAAAATGGAAACACTGTCTCTGGGTTCAAGTAGACACCTGCTTTTCCTCCATCATGCCAGGTATTTGGGTCTGGCTCTGTGGTTTTTAGTACTCAGAGCCTCCTGCCAAAAGCTGTAACTAATAAAGCAGATCCATTTGGTGACAAGCAACAAGATATTCCAAAATAGAATCGCCCCAACTCTGCAATGTCGGAGCTGTCATTGGTTTAAAGGTGTATTAACCATACCACACAAATGTTATAAATATATTGATGGGGGGATATGATAAATTCATTCTAGACAACAAAACTGCCTCGCCTGGGTGAATTTAGGGGTGACAATTTCAGTCCGTGGGTGATGGCCACTCCACTATGTGTCTGGCTTGCTTTTGCTAGCCAGAAGTTTCACGAGCATCTCCTTGGGGTATTGGGGAGTTAGATGAGACGGCTAAGACCTCAAACCACAGACCCTGCCTGGAGCTACTGCTCTGCAGAAGTTCTGGAAGCCTTATTGTTTGAACAATGCTTAAAGCTATTTCTGCCTTGGCAGCTGACCTTTCAATCAGTAGGTTTTTGTCACAATACCAGCAACATCTGCAGTGTGAATAAAATAGGGTTCTGCTTGCTAATAAGCTTTCTTCTATTTGATCTTAGTTTAAGAGACTATAAGTCTCTAGGGTGTGTGTGTAAATTCTTTCTGATAACAACCTTTTGTTTTAAAGATTGAAAATATGCAATGCCCATTTCCCCCCCTTGTCCTTTACTTTTTTGGCAATGCCTGTTTCTTATCCTTAAGAAAGAACCACCTTAAATTTGTTTCATTAGCATCATCTCTTTGCTCTTGATAAGACCTAGGGTGAAAATATAACAAGCAGAAACTATCACACTGTTGTAATTTGGTCAACCACTCGGGTACTGTCAATATCCACCATTTCCACACACTCAATTTCCTCCCGGTTTTCAGGATTTTTCTTCTCTTTCCGTTTTTTCTTAGAGGGTGGCAGGAAAGTCAGTATCACAGGTAAAATGGCAAAGCAGTGAAAGAAGGTGACAAATGCTATTAAAAACAAGCACCTGAACAGTGTACAGGTCAGATTTGAAGGCACAGCTGCGAGAGGAATCAGACCAACAATATAGCAGAGGTAACTCTGTAAAATAGCTACCCCATGCACTTCCAGGGCGTTTTTTACCCATTTAGTTCTTGTGAAATCCTTGCCCAGAACAAATGTGGATAACAGTGGAGCACAATTGTCAATTGTGTAGTTAATTCCATAAATTAAGCATAGCACAGAAATGCAGTCCAGTTCTACTTTCCATAATGTCATGAAACCTATAACTCCAAACTCCACGGACACAACCGTTAGAGTGAGCCAGACATTAATCAGAGAATCTGCCACCAGGAATGCCGAGAAGAAGAGCAGGAACAAAGCACTGATGCAGGAGTTGTGCAGGGGGGCTCCCAGAGAGGAGGCATATCGATCCATGTATACGAAGGACGGGTTGAAAACAATGAACTTCACCTTGGAGGTGACAGAAAGTCTCCTCAGGGTCTCCAGGAGGTCATAGAGTTCTTCTCTGTTCGTTTCCATGGTCTTGGCCACCAAAAACATTCGGGAGGCCACTACATCGACCTCATCATTGTACTTTTTAGAGAAGATAATGTCCTCTTGAAAATGTGAAAATTGGGGGGCTTTTAGGAAGGAATTCCTCAACATGTCTGTAAAATTTTTCTTAGGCAAGCCAGTGGACACATTGAGTTTCCGAAGGTAATTTAGATAGCTCTCAAACCAGGATATCCGCACAAACCCCTTGGTGTATTCTAGCACGTCTTCTTGGACACTAGTGTTCCAGTATTCTATGGACTCATATATGTAAAACCCAATCACTGGACTGTAGTTGCTAAAGTACTTTTGCTGGGCAGTAGTGTATTCAATGGTTTGCGTCGCAGTTGCTACAATGTTACTAAGGTCTGACCCTTCACTGACCTGCAGATAGCCCATTAAGGCAAAGGAAATATAAATAAGGTAAAAGAGAACTACAAAAGGCTTGACATAGGTGTTGGTTATCCAGTCACAGTAATAGCGTTTGAGGAAACATACCAATAGGTGACTCTCGTAAGTGTTCGCTTCCTCGCCCTCAGTTGTGTCCTCGCTGAATCTGGCTGTCAGGAGAAACCTGTACCATGCCGGCTTCTCCTGCAATGCCTCAGGCTTTGGGACTTTTCTACAGAAGATACTATGCTGGTAATTGTTTTCTATGTAGCCAGTGAATACCAGGCTGGAACCATAAAACGAGAGTACATAGAGGTAGTTGAAGAAGATTGCAATACAGGAATTGCAGCAGAAAATCCTGGCTGCCTCAATGTTCGTGAAAGGGCTGGCCCCTATGCCAAAGGTGACCAGGTACATGGCAGTGGTGAGAGAAAAGGAGAGCATGGAGTCTGCATAGACTGCTGCAGTTCTCTCTTTAACATGTTGGTCTTCTCTAGTTTTCCTCCAGGAGGATAACATTTCAAAAGTCCCATATAATCCATGACCTGAGGGGGCAGAAAAAGACCAGATCAAAAGTTTAAAAGACTAATCTCTTTAAAGAGAGAAACCAACTTGGTCATGGGGAACTACTGGGTCAAAGGAACTATAACCAGCCCTAGTGGTGACAGATGACAGGTAAATGCCAATGATTTCTCCTGTGGAGAGAGAGACCTGGGTTTTGGTGAACCATAAATGTTAATGGATAGCGAAAGGGCAGATAGAGGAGCTAAGATCTTCACGCTCCCTTCTGGCTTAAGAAAGCTGGGTGGACTTTTGCCTATAGAAAGCTGGGTAGACTTGTGCCTATGTCTCTTGGGGATTATGTACATCGATAGTTTAGGGTTGCGGGTGCAATTTGCAGGCTATTTGTTTCCCTTGGTTGTTGGAAAACTCCAGAGAAGATGCCTGGCCACTCATCATTTTGCTTGTCATCCCCACAAGTCTGGCTAGAGGTCAGCACAGAGAAAGGTAGGGAGCAGAGGGTTCTGAGTTAACATCTCATCACTGCATTTAAGTTTGGCCAAATGGAGGGCTTTAGGGAGAAAGAAGCACTGTATTTAATTTGAGCCTTGACAGGAACCTAAATCACAGCCTCCTTTTTTATTTTCTTCCCTGAGTGCAGGGAAGAAATAAATCAGTGCAGGAAGCAATAAATCTGAGAAACAGAGGGAAGTGAAATAAGTAGGAACAAGTTTGAGTGAACAGGAAAGAAGAAAGAAGGAACAAGATTCATATGAACTCTCCTTGCAATTGATAAAAATTAAAATTCAAGTTGAAGGTTTATGGCTTGCATTTTGTCTTCAGGGATCTGTCTGACCAATTTTGGTTGCTCATAGATGATGTATCAAGCAGGCAGTGACTCTGCTGGCTTCTCTGCACTATTTGGCAATGGCCTCTGAGGGAGAGAGCCAGATCAGTAACCTCTTTCTGGAACTACTTAGTGCCTTTGCCTCCTTGGTTAGTATTCCAGTCACACTGGAGTAGCAGAGGGGCAATAAGTGCCCATGCTTTGACTCCATTCTACTGCCCGAGACCAGATCTAGCTTGACTTCTCTCCCCTCTCCTGGTTGGAGCCAGGCACTTCCCCAATGGGCCTCCCTGGGTTTCCAGGCTACTGCAACATTGAAAAGGCCACCAAAATGACCCGTTGTGGCTTTCCATAACCCCTGCCTTGGCACTGGCATCAGCAGATCTAATTTTCTGCTTCTACGCCTTGGCATATTCAATCCCATTATTGAGGATAATAAAATCTTTACCCTGTGGTACAATAGTCTTGTTTTTAAAAAGGAATTTAAAATCTCCAGCCAAGCGTAATGCTGAGTGAAGTGAGTCACTGTTATCTTGTGTATACAATAACTGAGCGCACGTCTTCCCTCGTGCCCAGGCTGGTATTTATATCCTTATTGTGAAGTCTTGGCCTCAAACCTGAATGCCCATTTCATAGTTATGATATAGGCCTGTTTCCTCGGAGGGATTTGGCATTTATCTTAATTTACTAGGCATCATTTTATAGCCACTTTTAGAGGTCAGGTCAAGACTGTCAATTTGATAACTAGCACCATGGCCCCTATTAAACTGGAGGCACCTAAACTCCCTGGACATGAAGTAAACAGTGCACTCGTTGATTGGCATGCTGTTGTTAATTATGTTGTAGATAGTTAACGTCTAACGTCTAGTCTCAAGAGGGAAACCTATTTATTCAGTCTGTTTCCACTGTGTTCTCAGGAAGGAACAACCAACCTTTGATTAAAAGTAACCAATTCCTTGACAATGAGGGTAAAAAGAGAATTAATACCTCCAAGGCATCTGCGCCCTGGGGAAACAATATTGACCATTTCATCCAGGGCTATGTCAAATAAGTTCTGGTGGGCAAAACACACTTTAGAGTTTCACTGAAAATGGCAAATGGAAGTTTTTACAGTATTTACTTGTTAGAAACAAAAAAATGTTTTAAAACAAGGCTTTAGTACTGAGTCATTAAATATGGCAAGAAAATAAGGGTGCATATAGCAGGATTAGAATTAGTCATATAGTAGAATTTCAATTAAATCTGTTTTGCAGTCCTTTTTTTAAATCGGTGAAATGTTTTATAATGACATCATCTGACCTTGACTCTTGTTGGAAAATACAATAAGAATCCATTTCTTACCTTGCTGTTGAATAATCTTAGAAGCTAATTGAGAAAAGGAATTTGAATTAACAGAGCTATTAGGTGAAAAGAGTGAGGCTCGAGGGTCCAGAAAGAAAATAATCAAACTCAAGGAAAGGTAGAAGTAGGCTGTTAGCTTGTCTTTTGAGTTCTGTTACTGCATTTTAAATGCCTTGTCCTTCTATAGTTTGATCATTTTTATTGAGTCCTGACTTTTGCATATGTTTTTGGTTCTGGGGGAGCTCCAGAGGGAATTCTAATTTTATTCTTAGGGGTTTTGGGAACCTATGCCTTTACTTCGTTCCTCTCAGTACAGGGGTATACATGAAGACACCCACAGAGGCCAGAAGAAGAGGCCTTGAGAAACAATCTGTTCTACCTGATCACTTGGCCTTTGTTGCTAGTCATCACTGGCCTTGCCTCCAAAGGCCCCCACCACCATTCCTGATAGGCCAGATTCTTGTTTCTCAAGCTACACCTCTCTAACAGATGCCTATACCCTAAACCCCAAACTGGAGTTGTGCAGTGTCTTTGAAGAGCTCTTTGGATTTCAAGGACAACTGATTACACCATAACTGGGCCTCCTTCCTGAAGCCCAGTCAATCAAGGGAGGGATGTATGCCAACACAGCTGTGGGTGCCTCCCAGGGATTAACAGCCTGGAGTGCCTAGCTGGCACTAGACTTGATTCACAGCTGGGTATTTATGTTGAAGAGGTTGTCTGTTACCTAAAGGAGAGCTGAACTGTGGGGCCCCTGTTTCCTGGCCTGGACTCAAGGGGAGACATATTCCAAGAGCCTTAGGACATGAGGAATGCCCTGCCCCCTGGGATGCCTGCTCTGCCCATAATTATAGCCGGAGTCCCTTTGGTTTTGGCTTTCAAGGGTATCCTTTTAAATGCACACCCCTCTGGGACAGTGGTCTACTGAAGCAGCTTCCCTTAGGTCTGGGGAATGGGACAGAGAATAGAGATGGGGATGCAGTGAAGAGAAAATCATATGTAGGTGGATTTCACAGAGATCAGCTCCTTCACACTTTTTCCTCCAGCCCTGGCCTTATCTTTTATACCCACTTCAGAAACTGGGCCAATGGAAATCAAGGAAAGATAGGGAAGAAAAATTTAGGTAGGTTCTGTTCCTCTCCACTTTCTTTTCTCAGTTGGTGTCTCCCTTCTTTAGCATCACCATCATCCTTTGCTCTAACTCTGGGGCTCGGGTCCAGCAAGCGGGACTCTGAGACCAAATCCTACAGATGTAGGCAAACAGATACCACATGTGGACTGAAGATACTTTTCAGAGGTTTGGCTATTGTTTCCCTCATGTTTAAAAGGTGCCTTAAAAGCAAAAGTATTGCAGTTTGCTTTGTGCTCCAGTTTTAAAATTTTCTCTGTGATGTCGGAGCTCTATAAACTTCTCTATTAAATCTGACCAAGGGGCCTATGTCATTGGCACAAAGCATCACTTTGGTATGGGACCATTTTCTATCTCCAATGTTCCAAGCCTGTTCTTGAGGACTCCCTGGTAGGAGCACTCATGTGGGGAACTATCTAAACATGAAGTTCCATACAGATTTAGCCCTTGATGACCAGAGGCCCTGAGGTGGTAATGGGAGCCAGGGCTCAACATTGGTCCACAGCCCGAGACTTGGAAATAAAAGACTGCATCATAGTGAGCATGCCAGGGACCGACCAATATCCCAGGCCATTCTCCCTCTTACAGTAACAGTATTTAAGGCTGAAAAATTGCCAAAGGGAGCTGTTAAACAACACTTACTGATTCTATCAAATTCTGAAGATAAAGAAGCTTTTAAAGTATTCACTTGTCTTTTAAAAGCACAGTCAAGATGTTTGTTTCTATTTTGGTTCATTGCATGTCTGTATAGTTACATGCCTATCAGCATGTGTCAAGACACACACACAGGTCCAAGTTCTAATTATTCATGAGTGAATGCGTTGAGGCAATGCAGGCTTTTAGCCAGGCCCTGGGATAAGGACAGTAGAGCTCTTCACCAATGTTCAGACACGATTTGTACCAGGAGTGCAATTCAAATTTTATTAGCAGTAGACTTTGGGATTGTCATCTAGTAAAATCAAATACTAAAGGATTTAGGCTAATAATTTTTCTTCTTTTCCAAAGAATTTTATGTCTTTATGTGCAGTTAACTTTTAGGCTTTGGAGCCAATGAAGAGAAAAAGCAGTACAGATGATAAATAACACTAATAGTGGAAAAACCTCAACTGGCTAATCCTCTAGTCACTTAGGGTGAGTCACAAGGACACTCACAGATTAAATCTCACTCTCACTCAGACCCTTTTCTGGGGCCTGACCAAAGTCTTCAGGGTTGTTTATAACCCACTAACGTAGGAATCCATTAACGAATAGTTGAGAGTTAACCTAACTTTACCCAGTAGATATACTTCTGGAAAGTTGTTCATAAAGTGAACCATATTTTAAATGTATTTAATGGTTTTGCTCCCAGAGGCAGTCTGGGTGATTTGTTTATTTTTTTGTCAATGAATAATCACAAGCAAATTGATCTACTTTGTACAGTTGGATTTTGTAAGGCAGATTTTTCTTTAGATACAGATTCTCCCACCTTCCCCAGCACACACAGCCACAGTACAAAGGCCTTTGGGCGCTCCTCACATTTTAATCCTTTTCATACTAGCAGGATTTCCTCATCCTGAGTTCCTAAAAGTAAGGAAGAGCTGAGAAGATGAGGAGGTGAAATGGGATGGCTTGCTGATGGATGATCGTTCAGTTTCAATGTGAAAACATTTAATATCAGAAGACAATGAAGCCATTTATAGCATGCCTGGGCAGTGCCAAATTTCATATATGGAAATATAATTACTACA